CGACATGCAGACTGATGGCAAATGGGTAGTACTAGCACCAGCAGAAGCACCTCCCGCCACATCCACCACAAGCTACGCAGGCGGCCTCGTCTCATCGCATACTGCCTCAAGTCTCAATTCGCTTAGCTACCTTCAACTCTATCGTCTTTCGTTCCCGTCATCCACATCATCGCCGAAATTGTCATTCGTGCGCGCTCTGTACGGTCAGGTCGGCCCATGCTCAGCTCTCTCTCTGGCAGACGGTCGTTGCGTAAGCCTTGGCGTGAATGGTAGTCTGTGGGTGTGGGACCTCGAAGGCGATACAGGTACGGAGCTTGACCAGGGGCATTCTTCCACTCGGATGGCCGAGGCGACTGGGTCGGTCACCGCTGTTAAGGGCACGGTTGTTTTTGACGAACGGAAAATCATCAGCGCGGGCACCAATGGGATGGAAGTCAGACGGTTCGATATCTAAATAATAGACTGATTTGGTCACTGATGGAGGCAACGAATATATCATGATCTGTTGTATTATTGGAACTGTACCGTCTGTAACAAGACATATTACACGTGTACATGTACAAGCCTTACGGTTGGGATTGCAGTACCGCCTATGAGACCTATCTCTGTGTTGTCGGCGACATAGCGTTACCGTCGAGGCGATGCAGAAGGCAGAAACTGATGTTTGGATTGTGCCTCCAAGGTTATGTTTATCGCTTGGCTTGGCTTACATGCTCTGCAAGCATTGTGAGCAATATGAAAATAGAAAGCTGCGCGATACATACCTCGTCTTGTAGCATCCTCCAACAGCTGGGTATCCACGCCCGATGGAGGGAGCTGAACATATCGCACGACAGACCCTCGGATGAAGCAGTTCTTCACGGCCATCATGTGAGGGTGTCTAGCTTCGTCTAAAACCTTGATACCGTCCAGACGAATGTTTAGGAATCTGCGTTCATTTTCTTCTCAGTGTACATTCGTATCGTCAGATGACCAAGCGAACGTGTACAACACTTACTGGTCAACCGATTTCAATGTACCAGTTATGGAGAGGTCATTCTTGAGCTCAACTGTGACCTGCTGGTCGGTGAGAGTTTTGAATACGGAGAAGATAAGCTGATAGAATGTTCAGTATGGGGCCGACTATAAAATCCGCTATATTTACCATGATAAGTCGTGAATCGTGAGGGTAGCCGCAGAGCTGAATAGATCTCTACCGCCGAAACACACGCTGGCGCCTAATGTAACCCATTCGTCTTCTGCACATACCGTCATGGCCGCTTCGAATGTCAATTGCTGAATACGCAAAGCTGTGAAACGCGTGCGGAATAATACAGCTGGAGACGATAAACGAAGTCTCTGAAATCGACTCTATTCTGCGATGGGACCCGCTCGCGGCCCTTCAGCTCTCGCAAGAGACCTGCACACTACCCTCTCGAACCACAAAGGAGCAGTTCACGTGGCTCGGTATGCCAAAGGTTCCGCGAAATACGTGCTGACTGGTGGACAAGATCGAACAGTACGTCTATGGAACCCCAGCTCTGGCGTGGAGATCAAGAACTATGCGGCACACGGTTATGAAGTGCTTTCAATCTCAGTGTAAGTCCTCAGATGTGCTGCGGTGCACGAATCACCATGAACTTGACTATAGAATGTTTCTGTTATTGGCACATCTAGTTCTCATGATAACAGCAAGTTTGCGTCCTCAGGAGGAGACAGGTCGGTTTTCCTCTGGGACGTCTCGACTGGTGCCACAATTAGGAGAATAGCCGGGCATATGGGCAAGATAAATACGGTCGAATTCAACGACGATGCTAGTGTTGTGGCCAGTGGCTCGTACGATGCTACAGTGCGGCTTTGGGACATCAAGTATGCTTCAACTTCGGTATGATCACATCATACTGAGTCTATGCAGGTCGCAGAATCGCCAGCCTATACAAGTCCTTGACGAGGCAAAAGACGCCGTCCAAGCTCTATATGTAGGAAACGGTTTGATAATGACGGGCTCCGTGGACGGATATGTCCGGACCTACGATCTGCGCATGGGCGAACTACGAGCAGACTACATCGGACGTAAGTGCTCTTCTCGTCATAAGCTACTCTGCGTCTCATGACCGCCTTGTAGATCCTGTCACCGCCGTTGCACCCACAAAAGATCACCAAACCTACCTGGTCACAACACTGGATTCCCATGTGCGCTTGATGGACGCTACCTCCGGCAAACTCTTGAACGATTTCACAGGCCATTTAAATAAGAGCTATCGCTGCCGAGCGTGTTTGGGCCATAATGAGGCAAGTGTTGTCTGCGGAGACGAAGACGGGAAGGTCTGGGCTTGGGATTTGTTAGATGTAGGTTATTTTAATTCCGATACTATGCTCCTGCTCTTACGCATCGCGAAGGCCAATCTTCTTCCGCCAAACCCGCCGCCTAAGGTGCACAGCAGTGTGATACTTTGGACCGAACATCATCCTACAGATGAGAGCGAGATGATCACGGCCAGTGGCGATGGCACAGTCAAAGTCTGGCGTCGACCCATGGCCTCATAGCCCGCATAGTCTGGCGACGTTTGCTTCGCCGGTCATGAAACTGCACGTATCTTGACCAATCCTTATTGCTGCATAACTGCTCATGCTCACTTGTTTTATCCTTTGCGAAACAGTTGATAGAGCACACAAAAGACAAGCGCTGCAAGATATGAGATGTAGACAATACCTCACAGCACCACGTCCTTTCGAGGACATCTCAACAAAGCATGGACTGCGATTTCCCGGCGTCGTAACCCGGGCGCCTATGCCTCCCGTTTTGTTTGGAGTCGCGATCGTCTAAGTAATGGTCGTGTTTCCTCTGGCCTTTTGTCCTGACGATCACGGAAGCGGCACAAGAAGCGAAGACAATTAGCTCTCTGGCAAGGCGTTCGGTCCCGTTGCAAACGGAGAGACGAGAACCGTTCTGAGATGAACGGCGAGTTATTGTATACCCTGTAATCATATGCGGTGTGCAACCAGTCTACCTCGAGCGCGTCTGCTACTGCTATTGTGAAGACCGATGTGCCATTGAGGACGCGTGCTCTTCCGTTGGTCTTCCAAGTCTCGATGAGGTAAAGTGAGAACAATGAGCCACATATAGCTCGTTTGGCTTTACGAGAGACAGTCTGAGGAGATTAACGAGCCTGCGCAGTCTCGCTAGTCACTCTTAGGTAACTTGAGGCCCAGCTTACTTCCCGATGACGGAGAGAAGAAGGTATAAGTACTGAATGTGCGGAAGTGAAGTCAGATTGAACTCCTGTTCTCGCGCAGCTCAGAGCGAACCCACCATGGATACTATTACTTGCATGGAGATTACCAAGTTCGTCCTTGACGAATCTCACACCGGGGTCTTGCCGGAACCCCTTGTGCGCAGTGCAGCACGCAGTGGTCTGAGGTGAGCAAGGCCATCGCTGTACCCCGATGTCGGCATTGAGCAACTGTCTTCAGATTGAGGTACGGGCTCGAAGCCCAGGAGTCCAAGCATCTATACGTCATCCGCGGTCAGTATCTCCATATTTACTACGTGATTAGACAAAGCCTCTTACCGAGCACAAACTACCTGCAGCTTGGGACACTTCCTACGCGCTCCACGACCTCACTTGCAGCTTTTCCGAAGAAGCCAACCTTCACATCGACAGCATAGTCCCCGGAGTGTTGGATTATCGGATGCACGTCCACCTACAATGCGAACCATATACCGCCCTTGCTTCTCCACTAACAGAGATTGTCGTATGGAACTTGCGTGAAGGGGCGCAAAAAGCGGTGGTTGAAGCACTGCTGACGAAGCTTATGGGGATCGTAAACACAATACCATTCGGAGATGGCATGTACAAAGCTGGGTGGGGTCACGTAACGAATGATGAGTCAAAGTATGTTGTAATGATAGGGTGGACGACCCTGGAGGTACGTCAGCGTCATGTCGGACTCGATCGTGCTCTGAGGGAATTTGCACTGACATATCTACGCAGGCGTTCTTCGCTGCGGTGCAGAACTCGCCAGCCGGGCGTGCGGTCCTTGATGAACTCGATGAGTTCACAGTGCGACACATTCGGCACGTTCCCCTAAATCAACCTCGCAGAGGGCGCATATACGAAGCACGCTTGTAGATGTTATATGGAGTGGCTTGAGAGATACTGCTTCCGTTCGACCTTCTCCGTCTCGACCCTTTGTATCCTTATTTCGAGAATCGATTACCGCTCGAAGCGCCTTTGCTTAGTTTGCGTAGTAGCAATGTTGTAGTTTGTGTACGCCCTGTATGACCACGTTTTCCCGGTTGATTAGCAGTAGGATCAAGATTGACGGACGCATCCTAGATGGAAAAGACTATTCGACGCTGCGTACAGGGTCGGATTCGGCTGCGGATGCGCAGACGTTGTGGTGTCGCACGATTTCTGTTCCGCTGGTGAAAGTGCCGTGTGTCGTTGCTGCGCTCGTGAAGTGCGCCTTTCCTCAAATTGCTCGATTGCAGTGTTCTAAACCCGCAGGTCCAGCTCTCGCCGTTCAGTTACGACAAGCGCGTGAAGGATGATTGTCATCATAGGGTCCATATCCTATATGACTTCTGTCAACGGTTCGTTTAGAACGCATACGGAGTACTGACGTCTACCGTTATCATATTGGTCATTTCCAGGTGACCGAAGGCAACTACAACTGTGTTGCATTCGCGCAGCCATGGATAAGAAACCCGGCCGCTGAGACACAACGAGATGACCATGAGTAAGCGGCTGTCGTTGTCTGCTATACGATGGTTTCTTCCAGGGCATACTGTCTAGAGAGAAGAGATGAGATGCATTAGACGCTCAACTGTGTGCATCCATCGTATTTGCAACACGAGTCTTGCGCGAGCGGCACGCTGATGTCAGAGTCGAGATACGCAGTACCGCTGCAAAGTCGGAATTATTTCCCGAAGTGGGACAGACAAACTATGAAGAGGTCACTGTAGTTGATAGTGTCAATAACGATGAGCACGCTCTGTAGCAAAGAGCAAAAAGGACTGATGAGAGTGGGATTCGAACCCACGCCCTTTCGGACCAGATTATGTAATCAACACGTGACCTTAGTCTGGCGCCTTAGACCGCTCGGCCATCTCACCATGTTAGTACAGTACATCTGTGTTATTGAGTCAGGGCATGAGCTGCTGAAATGACCCACACATCTCGTGGGCCATCGTTAGCAGGCTAGGTCTCTTTGCAAGCGGTCTCCGCTCCTTGCAATGGACCTGTGAAGTCTACCCTTATGTGGATTCTATCATAATAGGCATACAACACTCATGTAATTTATGACTGTGGGATAAATACAATGATGCATAGTGCGATGCTCTAATCTACTGCAACAGCTTTCTGACAAACCTTGTCAAAGCCATAGACTCCGCATAGGAGATCTCAAACTCTTTGCAAAATTCGCTGGTCTTCGCTCCTTGAACTGGATCAAGAAGGTCTTCGATAGTAATCTTTTCATGTTGAAAACGCTGCAATAGTTCTGGACGATCATACTGGGGATATTCTTTGAAGAATCCAGGAAGGCAATGAGCAAGCTGTGATTGTAATGAGATGGATTCACTGAGCGGCTGCATGAGGGCAGTAGAGGCAGAAGAAGCAGCAGCGAAGGTATAGGCAAGGGCAGACACAGGCATGGTGGCAACAGACGTAGACGAGGAGACAGTAGGAGCGGAGGAGATGGTGGTATTAGTGGAAGCTGTAACCGAGGATGTAAAAGGGGAGATGTCTTGAAGAGCGGAGGAAGTAGCGAAAGATGCAGAATTGAAGGAGGCCAGCTGCGGTTCATTATTTGCAGAAAGCAGAGAATCTTCATGTTGGGAAAGCGAAGCTACAGCTGAGGACATGCCAACGGAGGCAGTTTGAGCAACTGCAGCAGTAGGTAGGGGTAAAGAAGGTTTCTGAGCGATGAGCAGTGCAACAAGTGGGATTGAAAGACTGGATTGAGTCGGAGGGGTATTTGCGTCTATTTCGAGCTCGGAGGGGTGTTTGTTTGCAACGTGAGCTGTGTGTTCTTAGTGTCAGTGAGTAGTGCGTGTTATGATCAAAGGTCATACCTTTTGCGTTAGCTTTGGCAAGGCGTGAGGCAACTTGTTTGCGTCTGGCGGGTTTTTGTGCATCAATGACACATACGCTTTGGTCTGCAGACTGCATGTCAAGTTCGTGTCTAGCCAAAGCCTTCGTCTGGTACATGAATCTCTCTGGCAAGATTAGAACTTCTTCATCTGGGTGATCGTGGTCAGTATTACAGATGAGAAGCTGATAATGATGGTGATTATAAAGATGCTCCAGCATCCCTTTGATAGGAAAGCTGCTTTTACCAAAAAAAAATGGCTAGTAAGTTTTGTCAGGACAGCTCCAGTCGTTGTGCATACCTAAGTGGCTTTCCGTGATTGTCTGCAAGATATCTTGGCCAGTAGCATTCAGCAGTTCGTTTATACTCAAAGGAGCTGAGTGGACTAGCATGAATCGTCCAGTGAGAACCTAAGTGTTCATGAAGTGCTTTTGCTCTGATTTTGCATCTAAACGGAAACAGAAATCTAAGCACATAGCGTGTATGAGATAGAAAGACCACATACCTCAACCGCTGTGATCTCTGTTCAGAAAGCCATGACAGACCCTCATGTAACAAACATATTGGACAAAAAAACACTGTCCGAGGAATTTGACTTGGCGATATGAGTATCTGGCAGCTCAGATTGTACCAACAGCTGCGGAAGCGAATGAGAATAGGCTTATAAAAATGCGAGGTGCAAAATGAAATGAAAAAATTACTCTACAGAGAGATCTCGAGGTTTGACCGTTTGTCTTCCTTTTTGTTTCTCTTTAGATTCCAAAGGCTGTTTGTTCTTGCCTAGCTTGCCATCATCATTGCAGCTATGTTCTCCATTAGAGATATCGCTCTCATCGCTGTCGTTGGCTGATGGCTTTGAAGAACAGTCGATACCGAGCTTGACTTTCAAAAGGGATAAACAACGAGAGAAATGATCGCCAACTTGCTCAACACCCTCAACAGTGTTGATTGCGTTTGTAGTGCTGATAGGTAGCCAGAGTCCACACATAGGGCATAGAGTTTCCTCAGGACGATGTTTTCGTGCACAAGATCAGGAATGTTGGCCGAGATGATCCTTCCAGTCTTTAGTCCATGCTTGCTCAGACAGAGTCTCGTCTTCGTAACACTAAGAGCATATGCCTTCCGCTTTTAGCATGTTGATCTTTAGCAGAGCTAACAGCCATTCTAATGCGGCATATGCAGGGTTATCTTTATTAGAGGCGATAGCAGCCTCCATACCAGTGGGATCAAGAGACAAAGTTTTCAGAGTATGAGCGGCGATGTTCGTCAATTCAGAAGGCAAAGACGAGGCCGAAGAAGAGGACAGCGAAGTTGATGCAGAAGTCAAGGTAGAGACGGAGGCAGAAGTTGAAGTCAGAGCCAAGATAGCAGAAGAAGTCAAAGTTGAAGTCGAAGCTGAGACAGAAGTCGATAGCACGGAAGAGGGCATAGTCTTGCTAAGTAGCTTTTTTTGAAGAGTCTAAATTCACCATTAAGCATTTATACTTATGATTTTACAATATGCTAACTTCTGAGCACAGCACAGCAAGACGTTCAGTGATTTTCTTGCAAATTCCCAAGGCAGCTTGTATGCCTTCATCGTCAATCTAGATGTCGGATGGAACGTAAGCCATAAGCGATGAGCTAGAGATAAGTATAATCTTACCCCTTCATCGTGAAGCTGTAGGGATGTTTTTCCATTATGAGCGGCTTTGACAGATTGATCTGCCTTTTGCCATTCCGCTAGAAGATTCAACATGACAGCGTCTGTCGTTAGAGCTTCAGGAGAGAGCTGTCGAAGGTGGACATCTTGTTCGTGAGCGTCATAGGCTCCAGAGCTGTGGAAGTTGCCCAAGTCTGTTTGAGCTTCACCACCGTATCTGAGTGATACCAGATCAACGGGACGATCTGGAGCATGATAGGTAGAATGTGCGAGCTTTCGAGAACCATAAGAATGGTCTATGTCATGGAGACTGGTCACGTGACGCTTAGGGATCACCCTAATCTCAAGACACCGAAAGGTGTAGACTTCTTATTCAGAAGTGAACAGCTAGTAAACTATACACAAAGCTAGCCCAGTAAAGACCAGATGATATTAGTAAGGAGAATACAATACAAAATGTAACTAAAGGCTTACCTAGCCCAGTAAAGACCAGAAGGTCGAGATGAGGGCTAGGAGCGAAGGAGGCTGGGTATTTATATTACTGAAGGCTGCGCACAGACCACTTTAGGGTAGGACAATAAAGACAATAGAGCGTGGCAGCAAGACAATAGGACAATAGTGCAGCACGACAATAGAAGAAAGAACAATAAGGAACGGAGACAATAGACTGAGGGGAACAATAGGAATGGTGCCACTCCGGGCGTAATTACTAATGCCGAGCCTGAGTCATAGACCGATGGACCGGAAGTCCGATGGGTCGGAGATAGGAAGAGTCCGAGGTTCTGGAGGGATCCGGAGACCGTGCGGAATTGCAGGGCCGGTGATGTCATTATCAGTCTTGTCACGGAGACCAAGTCACGTGACGCTCAGGGAGCTACTCTAATCTCAAGACACCGAAAGGTGTTAGACTCTTATTCAGAGTAAAACAGCTAACAAGCTGTGCGCACGCTAGCCCAGTGAAGACCAAATCATATTAGTGAACTAGATACAATACAAACAAGTAAGTAAAAGGCTTACCTAGCCCAGTGAAGACCAAAAGGTTGAGATGAGGGCTAGGAGCGATGAAGGTCGGGTATTTATACTACTGGGTCTGCGCACGGACCACTTTAGGGCGGGACGGACAGAACAATAGAACAATAGTGCGACATGACAATAGAAGGAGAACAAAGGGAGAGAACAATAGAGATGGAGACAATAGAACAATAGACAAAGGGGGACAATAGGAATGGTGCCACTCCGGGCGTAATTACTAATGCCGAGCCTGAGTCATAGACCGATGGACCGGAAGTCCGAAGGGTCGGAGAATAGAAGAGTCCGAGGTTCCGGAAGGATCCGGAAGCTGTGCGGAGTTGCAGGGCCGGTGATGTCGCTATCAGTCCGGGCCGAGTGAGGAGCGCGAGTGCGCGTGCATGTGCATGTCATGTGATCGTGCAGGTCATGAGACCGTGTCGACAAGTCACGTGATCGCAAAGACGTGTAGGATGCGCCAAAATAAAAGAAAAGAAATCGAATAAATTGGGCGCTACACGTATAACCATGACATGGGTGGTGGTAGGTGGTGACAAGTTGGCCGTGGTACCGGAAGAGGCAAGTCGGATGAGCTGGCAGCGAGAGACAGCAAGTCGGGTGAGCTGGTGAGTATGGGCCAGGGACGTCTGGCGCCTTAGACTGCTCGGCCATCTCACCGTGCAGTACTTGCATATACAGTCATTTACCCCCGAGTGAGTCGCCACCCCCGTCTGGGTCGGTTGCCAAATAGGGCAAGCGCCCACCAAATTAGGAAACATAGCGCTCGTGAGCTCAGACCGTCGCGCACACTGGCAGTACTATGGAACTCGAGGGTAATGAGGGTATTGACGATAGTATACCATGAAATAGGCTGTAACAGGTCTTCAAATATGACATTCTATTTTTTACAGCATTTAGAAGCCACATGTAAGAAGTGCAATAGCTGAGATTGAAGGGTTTCGATGCCATTTCTGAACACGGACTCACACAGTAGCTCATAGATCTATTTCTATGTCTTATATACACTCGTCGAGTCATATATTGTGCATGTAAGAAGTTCATTGTGCACTGTTTCTTGTAACTGCACGACATGGCAGAAGATTACATAAGCTACCTCATTTGGTAGGCGCTTACCCTATTTGGCAACCGACCCAGACGGGGGTGGTGACCCACTCGGGGGTAAATGACTGTATGATGTTTCACCTCGGTCATTTAATGCCAACCTCACTTCCAGTGAACCCCATTTATGCGTTTCGGCATGCTCATAATGCTCTGACAAGGCTCATGGGCTATATGTGATCTCTTTGTGCTCGATTCAGTACTCGTGCTTCGCTTTGGGAGCAAACTGCATGCTTCGATTCACAACCGCATCG